TTCTTGAGCTGCTTGCAGGTAAAGGCAACATGCTTCCCACAGACTTGATGCACCGTGCCGTAAACCAGACGCTTTCTGTCCGATCCTTCTCCTCGTTTCCCCGAGTCCACAGCGCGAGGCAATGCACCTCCTCATCTCATCTCACATCGCGTGTGTGTGTTTTCCTCCCATCTTTGATTCCTGCTTATAATTCCCTCTGCCGAATGTCCAATTTAAACTGGATCCTCATCCTTATGCCTGAATTGTTCGAGGAAGTATATCAGTGGTACGAGTCGTCACTACTTTAAGAGTCCCTCGTCCTGCTGATTGATCCAGCGTATACACTGTGAGTCATCTACTTAAACGAGTCCTCTCTGCTGATGTTCAGGTGTTATCGTGTGTAGATGTCTCTAACTTTCAAACAGAGGTCCTCATCCCTAGAGAGACGAGTTAGGTGTTAGAATCAGTGTGTAGAGTCTCTAATTTACAAGAGGTCCCTCTCGCCGCTGATGTCAGGTGTATATCCAGTATGTAGGTCTCTACTGTTACAAGAGTCCTCTCCGCACTGTTCAGGTGATATCAGTGGTAGTGTCTCCTACTTTAAGAAGGCCTCCTGCTGAGTGTTCAGGGATAATAATCAGTGGAAACGTGTCTCCTATTAAGAGTCCCTCCGCTATGCTCAGGTTATATCAGTATGAGTGTCTCTACTTTGAAACAGTTAGCTTTCTAATATTCAAATCAACTCTTTATTTGATCTCTACTTGTGCTCTTAGATACTTAATCCTCTGATCACTATCTTCTCCAGGGCTCAACTTCCACATTTCGCGCAGAGATGAACATGGAATGGGTTTAAGTACCACCTTCCTCGGCGAAACCCGTGGTTCCGAGTGACGGGAGCAGAAAACATCCCGGAAGATTCTCTCTGGGAAGAACACAGTCTGGTCTGCACTCAGTGGGCCCTCAGAGCAACCCGCATCATCCTGGGCCCAACACAGGGCTGGTGAACCATCCATCGGAAGACCTGCACAAGAGGGAAGAGGAGAAAGAGAACACTAGTATGTCTCTTGTGGTGGCGCAGGCTCAGTCTGCTAGGGACTCTGGACTTTGGCCCAAAAGGACCAAACATTTACCTGAGTGTGGACCTGATACTGGAGAGGCACCAGTTCACCTCCTGGGCCACTTCTGAAGGTGGCCCTTGAACAAGCATTAACCCCAACTGTTCCCCACAGTGCCCTCTCCCTCTGGACCTCTCAATGCCATAGTGCAATTTAGTAACTGTGTATGTGTGTATGGTGAGAGTACCGTATATAAGAAGATGTATACTAAAGAACAGAGTGGAAGAACTGAAGTGTGTAAACTGAATTTCCACCCACACCTCCCCTCCTACAGCAAGTATTTACAGAAAGGTTTGCCTTGTCATGCTGTAACGTTGTTGATATCCCTCCGTCAGAACACTTTCAGGATCCTGAGCTAAAGTGTTAGCGCGGCGCCTGGAGTCCCTACCTTCCTCGCTGGCAGGAATCCGTGAAGTCATGAAAATCCCAAAAATGGTGGCTCGGAGCGCCGGGATCCCGTCGACGTCTACAGCCGCCCGCCAAATCCTGACTTTCCGGCATCGCGTCCCGATCCTTCTGGGTTCTGAAGATTGGAGGAGGAGCGGGAGCAGTTTACCCGGGCAGATCTTCCGAGCAGCTGATGAACAACCCTTTGTTCTCCTCTTGCCTGTCGACGCTCCACATAGCGGGCTCTGAGTAAGGCTGAAGGGCAACCTGGACTTTCTATTTTTTTTACGATATAAATATCATGTATGTGCATTGTGGAGGAACTGGCAGTTCGTTGCATAATATCTCTACATTGAATCTAATTATAACGCTTCCGGTTGTTTCCTGTTCAGGGGCACAAAGCCAGAGATATCTTGCACGCCAAACATGCAGAAAATCATCGAGGAGAAGAGGCGCGGCATCAGCGGAGGAAGGAATTTCAAGACGCCTTCGACTACATGCTGTCCAGCGCACCGAGCTCGGCCAGCAGATCAGCATCCAGTACGACTTCAAGGGACCAACAACGAGCTCTCAATCAATGGTCTGGAAGGTCCTTGCAAAGCTCAAAGTCCTGGTAATATGGCCGATAAATGAGTAGTACGGCCCGTCCACTGACACAGGGCATGAAGTAAAAAACTTGAAAAAATCTTTTGAGCTGGGCCGTGGTCTGGAGCTTGGCGATTTTTTGCGAGCAACGCGACCAACAACCAATCACATGAATCTCCCGCCCCCGACATACAAAGCAATAGCAATGTTAAAACGAAGTAAACTGGATATAAAATCCCCAAACAGGCAAAAACCTACCAGTTTCACCCACTGTCTCTGCCACCTCCCTCCATGCCTGGTTCCTCCGGTTTGTATCCCGGTAAATAGTTCTGGTCGTAAAGAACCAGGTGATTTGCTACCGTAATATCTCGTTTGGAATATGAGGAAATGAACTGCGGTCTGGCTCTCCCAGCTTGCACGTGGTTTGATTGGCTAGCGCTTGCACTGGCGGGATTTGCATAAACGGGATTTGATTGGCTGATGCCAGCTTCGCAAGCATTGGGAGCATCAAAAGTTGAACATTGCTCAACTTTTGATGCTCACGATGCTTGCAAAGCCATGCTCCGCTCCCCACAATGCAGTTCGGCGAAGATTAAAAATCTTCTACGTCACCCCATTCAAGTGAATGGGCGAAGCTTTGAAAGATTTTTTTCATGCCTGTGTGTGGACGGGCCGTAAGACTTAACTGGTGAATGCTCCCACATTTCGTTTAGCACTTACATGCAGTAGGTGTGTTGGGAAGCCTCCCAGCATTCATACGGGCAGCAGCTTGATGGACATTTATTATTTATTATTGTGTCTGGTGTGGTTTTGTTTGAAATCATCCAGTCAATTCAGTTTTTTTCAACAGAATTCCAAAAGGTTTTGGTCTTAAATCATGGTTCACCTAAAGAAAGTCATTTATGTTGGGGAATTGCTGTTTTAATTAAGTTTACTCATGTACTGTTGCAGATTCAGGCTTAAGGTCATGCTCTTCTGACACCATCTGCACAGCCGGTTTTTAAAAACGGAGAAATCCAGAATGAACAAATCCTCTACAGTGAAATCAACTTGATTACCCACTTACGAAGAACACGTTCAGGACAAAGAAATATGTAGAAACAAATACATAACTTAAAGAATTAGTGGGAAAAGCACATTTGAATAGCTTGCATTGATAAACCTCTCACCATTGTCTCCATCCAGATCAACATCTTCATTATCAGAATCTTCCTCATCATTGTCATCCTCATCGTCGTCGTCCCCAACGTCGACATCTTCTTCGAGAAGGCGAGCTACCTCTTCATCAGAGGGAGAGAACTCCTCATTCCCATCATCCTCCTCTTCATCGTCCTCATCCTCTCCACCGTTCTCGTTGTCTAGCTCGGCGATAAGAGGATCTGTATCGATGTCGTCGTCCGAGTCGTCATCGTCATCGTCGTCTTCATCCTGATCGTCATCCTCCTGGTGCATGGATGACAAAAAAAAAAATGGTTAAACTACAATTCATTGACATTTCTAGAGTCACTGCAGAATTAAAAGAACAAAATTAAAACCTGATCCTCCTCATCCTCCTCCTCTTCCTCTGCGAGTCTCTGCCGGCCGACTTCGTACAGCCTGCACACGGTGTCGGTGTTTACAGAGTCTTGGTTCTACAGGACGAGCAGGAAAGGGAAAGGAAACTGAATTATCCAACATATTTTTAAGACACATACATTAATCACAACCTTTAGCAAAAACGAATTGCATTTCAAACCCATATTTTAACAAGTATTTACCTCAATCACAGCTAGGTAGCAGTCTTTGGTATCGGTGCAAAGGTCAAATATGTTCCTCTTGACATCAATGGTGGCTGAGAAGAGAGGGAATGAGAAGTGTCAGAAGTACATTTATAATGTTTTTAAGATATATATTAAGTAACTGCCAACTAATATAGTAACAAATAATCACAAAAAAAAGCTAAATTAATGTAAGGTGAGTGCAGTACGCCTTACCGATGGGTTTGTAGTCTGTGGCATTGAAGGTCCTGAACGATGACCCAAATGGACTTTTCCTCTGCACCTCCATCATGTCGTCTTCATCGTCAGCCTGCAACATTGCTGTAAAACCACAGAGTGAGAATATGAGAGTAAATACAAATTGTGCACGGCGCGCCCATGTTTCCTCCTGTGAACCAGCTGCTTCTGTCTGTTGTCCAACAGAGCCTTCTGCCCATATGGCTACAGTGAACACACACATACACACACACACACACCTCTACGGAGTCTATTCACACCTCTCTTCAAATACACACAGGTCTTCTACTCAAACCTTTCACACACTTGCACTGACTGTGGAGTGAGATGTAGGCTGGATGCCAAATGCTCTACATTACCCATCATGCACTGGTTTCAGTAATTACCTCCATAAATGACGGTGCCGTTGTTGTTGAAGACTATTCTGCACTGGTCCAGAGCGGGGACTGTGTGGAGGAGGTGGAAGGTCCGCAGATCCCACTGAAACTCAAACTAAGGACCATGACACTCCTTTTCATTTGTATTAACTTAATCTGCCACACATGTAATAACACAGCGATTAAAACCATCCCCTAGGTAATGAAATCAATTATTACAGTAAAAAATATGTAATGTTCAGCGGTGAAATAAAAGCTCAACTAGAAATTAAAAAACGAAGTCATTTTTCTGGTTTCCTGGTTGGATTTATGTTCCAATGTATATTCATTTCTTTAAATGCAATGTTAATCATTTGAAGTACAAAAATGCAATCACTGTTTTTTTCTTAAATAGTGTAACATTAAAACATTTGGGGATGTACTCGTATACATTTTGGGTCGAGACTTAAATATCTCAACAGCTACTTGATGGCTTGCAATGAAATTTAGAACGGATATAACTTTGGTGATTGCTTCACTTTTCATTTAGTGCCATCATAAGAGTGATTTCTTTAATTTGTTTATGACATTAAACCTTAAAATAATAGCATTCCCATCAGCCTCAGTTCTACTTGGTGTTTTGTACTAGTTAGCAATTGTTAGAATGCTTACTCACTTAACTAAAATAGTGGAAATTATAAACAATAGACCTGCGAAACATCCACTTGTTAGCATTGTCATTTTGAGAATGTGATAACATAAGCATTCAGCAAAAAGTGTGCCTTAGTCGAGCCACACAGAGCCTCTAGCATTGCTGTAGACTCTTATTTTTGCTTAATGCAGTTCGGTAGGTGGTTTCCACAACAGAAAAAACCCCAAAAACTGTTAGGCTTTCCCCTACTGTAGCATACTCTTGTCAACCCAAGTAGTTCACTCTCAAGGATACAATCTCCGTGTTCACGATGACCTCCAGGCCGTTGGGATGGAACACACCGCTGATGTTCATGTTGAACTTGTCAAACTTGTGTATGGCCTGAGCTGAGCGCACGTCCCACAGCACGCCGTCGTTCAGCACAAGGTCGTCTGTTGGGTTGAAGGTGGCACAGTTCCTCTTGTAGTTGTTAGCCAGGTCTGGGTTGTTCAGAGTCAGAGTTACCTGTCCCGTCTGGATGTCGTAAATCTGGCACAGAGAAAAACTGAACGTAAGCATTTACTATTTCTTTCTGTATGTATCTTGTTAAAAAAGAAAAATGCTGACATACGTACCCGTGCTATATGTTCCTTAGTACCAATGACTCGATCTTGGGAAAGCTTACTGAACTCCACATAGTGGTCGCCCAGAAAAGAATGCCTGAAGAAAACAAGTGCAAGATTTCACATTAAATCAGAAACATGGGCCAGTAGGAGGTATAAAAGATATGTGATTAAACATGAATTTCTTAAAGACACTGTAGAAAAAATCTGAATCCATTGACAGAGTCCTAGTATTGCATTTGTTAGACTGTACGGTTGAATGATGCCAAGTGCTCGTGTTCTATAAACTGAAGACTGGCTGTTAGGCATAATTAAACAGCATGTCTTCTCCTTTCGGCAGCTCCCTCCTTCGACACCATAAAGCTGCTGTAACACGGGGCAGTGAAGACCACATACATGGAGGCAGTGGGATCACAGACAGGCGTAAAAAAATGGTGTTAGTCTCTTGTGCAAACATCACTTACTTCATGATGAAGACGGATTTCATGCCCCAGAGCGCAGACAGAGGGTAACTCCAGGAGGCTGACGTTAAGAGCAGAGAGCCATCCTAAAAAACACAAAATGTGACGGTAAAAGATCTCCTCGATGCATGTTTAAGACATCAAATATACTATTCTTTAAAAAAATGAGTGTGTCTGATATGGTATAGTCCATTTTAAAAGTGTAACTGTTTGATGCAAAATTACTTAATAATTAATTCCAAGAAAAGTTAAAATTCGCAAAAACACATCCTGAGGAGAGGGTTTTTTTAAATAACGTACACATAACAAGATGAGGAGGAATACATTCAGCAGCAACAACAGCAAGACAAAGCATAACATTTTGTATATTCTAGTAGCTCTCTGTACGGACCCGTGAGGGCTCCAGGTGAGTGATGGCTGAACTGTGACAGCTGTAGCTGGCTTCCTCCTGGCCTGTAAACACGTTGTAGAGTTTGAGCTGCCCCGTGCACGTCCCCAGCATCAGGAACCGCTCGCGAGCTGAGAAGGCACAACACATGAATCCACTCTCATCCTCGTCCGCCTCTCTGAAGACGGAGATGGGACGGAATCTGAGAAACGGAAGAATTTAGAAAAATGGTCAAGTATTCGCACAATGTGTTCAAGGGAGGGAACATGAATGTATGAAAGCTACCAACCTGCTGAAGATGAGATGTCTGTCAAAGCAGCCTCCATCCACGCCTCCGTATTTAGGATAGATAACCCGCCGTGTGTGTCGGGATGTAAAGTTGATGGGTGCTTGGCGTCTCTGTTTGGGCTCGGGGCATTGATGGGGGGTGAAGAGAGAGAAAGGCGGGCATGTTGCCACAGGGTTCTTACAGCGCGCATGCTGTTCCCTGAGGTACTCTGTGATAATGCTGTCCAGTGCAGGGGGGGAGGGCAGGTGCCTGTCAAACTGCTTCTTCATGGCCGGACTCTGGCTGAAGGCGCCATGGTCAGACTTCTGCCTCAGCACCCGGGGTTTCTTGCAGCTCACCGTAGTACACGGCGCTAGCCTTTCCCGAGAGAAAACGATTCGACCAATCAGTGGGGAGCCGTTGGTACAGGGCGGGACACACGGTGAGGGGAGAGCAGTGGAAGAACACAAGTTGAGTAGTGACGGGGAGGGACGTGATTGTGGATTGCTGCATCCTGGGGAGGACGAATGAGAGGGATGATTTACGAGTCTTAACCCGACACCGTTGGCCAGCCGTGGGGTGCGGGGTAGAGTAGCAACAGGGGAGACAGGTAGGGGGGGTGCGACAGGAGGGAAAGCAGAAGCTACATGTGAAGAATGAGACAGACATGTCATGGGGAGATCTGCCTCCTTGGTGAGTGTGGTGGCGGTGTCATGAAGGCCTTTGGCAACCAGGTGGTTCCTGATGAGCAGCAGCAGCTCTTTCTCTGGGAAGGAGATCCTGGACTTGGCGACCACACTGGCCCTCTGCAGCCACGCCAGAGACACGTCCGTACCGATCATCAGCGGCTTCCCGGAGATCCTCTCTATCAGCTCGGCTGCAAACTTACAGAACTTGACATGTTCGCTGCGTTTGTCCTGCAGCACAGGCTCCTTCATGAGCTGCTGGATGTGTCCGCTGCTGAACAACGGCAGCTTGCTGATGATCTGTCTGACGGAGGTGGAGCGAGACAGACCCACCAGAGCTTTACAAGCCAACGCTCGGATCTGATCTGCATCCGTGATGGGCATCTTCACCGTCAGCAGGGACAGCAGCACCTACAGGAAAGATGCAGTATGTCAGTAAAAAAACGTGTTTACCGAACCAACAAAACACAGTAAAACACATGTTTTGCCGTATGCTTCTTGCAGCGTTTTGGAACAACGGTTGTCATTTTACAGACAGACATTTAAATGTATCTCAATCCTAGGCAAGATGAAGACATCATTGTGTTATGAAGGGTAATTTGATGCCTAGTGAAGCCACAGCAACAGATTTGTGCACTGCCTGTGAATTAGCATGTCATTATGTCTGGCCTCTGCAATGTCCCAACTGCAGGTCCAGATGTCCCAAAGTATAATAATATACTGAAACCAATCTCCTGCTGTGCTTTGCATGGCGCCTCTAATGCTTTCAGTGTATAAATGTGTGTGTATATGTATGTTTTGGTGTGTAAAGCTTTAAAAAATGTGCAAGGTTACCAAGATAAGTGCCCTATACAAAGCTAGCCCATTTCAAACGGCAGTTCTTAGCAGCACCATCATGATGCACAAAAGGTGTTCACAGAATGAGTAGTAAGACTTAGTGGCAAGTACAACCTTCCAAAAGGATATAGTAACTGGTGTTATTTATCTCTACCTTGATGCCATTGTTCGACTGCACCACATTCCACATCTTAGTGAGCACACTCTCGCTGGCTTTGGTCTGCTGAGGCAGGCGGCGGCGGGGGGTTCCTGCGATGAACTTGCCAATGCTGGACACGCGTTTGTCTGGAGCACACACGCAGTTGATGGCGACCTGCAGAGCGGACTTCTGAATCTCGGCATCGTTTACAAACACCTCTCCCTCTGCTACTGCCAGGACTATACTCATTCCTGAGGGGGAAAAAAGAAATAATCCTACAATGAAACGAATATCCTTGAACAAAAATAATACATGGAATTGCGCCATCTCTCAGCAGAGCTGGGCTCAGGTTTTATGAAATAAACAAAAATGAAAATACAAAGACACTGCATGGTATTACAATCTGTGGAATGCATTCATCGTTTTCCTTTTTATACACTACATTTCAGAAAAGGTTACTGTTCATGTTGCTGAAGCTGAATGGGTGGATAGATTAGAAATACTGCTGCGAACCCAATGTACTGTATGCTATGTCTTTGTGCCTACTAGATGGTTACACTTAAATTGTTATTTCCTATCAAATACAAAACAACTGAGTAGCATCACTTACCAACAGTGGAAACAGTGGATCCTCCCTCATCCAGCACAGCAACAGCCTCAGACAACAACATCTGCGTCTTAGGAACAACTGTGAGGATGCTCAGGATGTCAAGAGCGTAACGCACTGTATCGCTCCTAGAAACAAATTCATCATTATATCATCATTGTATTATATTATCGAAGCATTATATCACCACATAACACATCAGAAGTCACTGAGAAGGCGATGGATGAAAGAAGAAGAAGAAGAAATGAGAGTTACTGCTGGTCCATACCTGCCATAATACGTCCTCCAGTCACAGGCGATGGAGATGAGCTGCAGGAGGAGCTGGACGCATGAGAGCTTGTGAAAGACCTCCGCTGGTTCCCAGTACAGCCTGAGAGGGCCGTACTCTATCAGGAACTCCATCATTTCCACCACCTGATCTCGGGTATAGCTGACCGCCTGGAAAACGAGAACATAGATAATGAAATGTTTGATAACTACATCTTCCAGTCCTTTTAGCTTGAATTTTTCTCTGTGTACCTTATAGTATGGTTGGGAGTGAATGGGGGCGCCACCCTCTGTGCGCTGCAGGGATTGCTTCACCTGCTCCACCTTGATAGCCAGGTGCGCCTCAAAGTACCTGCGCAGGGCCATGCAGGTGTGCTTGGCTGTCTGCCTGCTGGAGAAAATCTCATCATCACTCAGCAGCGCTCCCTGGTCCTCCGGGTTCAGGATCTCCAGCGTGCTGATCTGTAAACAGTGACGTCATATTAGGGCTGCTCGATTATGGCAAAAATCATAATCTCGATTATTTGGGTCAATAATTGATATCACGATTATTAAAAACGATTATCCATTTACTTTGAAAACATCCATTTATTGAGAAGAAAAATGTGAACAGTATGTTTTTAACAGTTGATTACCCTGAACTTTAAGTATAACTCAACTGAAAAACCAATAAAAAAATTCATACCTCTTGTGTGTTTGATGTTGAGTTTTCTGCATTTTAAAAAGGCCCTTCCAGGAACATTTGCAATTCAACATTGGTTTTAATTGATGTAGTGTGTGGCATTGGTTTATGCTACATAAATAAAGACACAGATGGATATGTTAACATGGTTACATTGAGGATCACATGCAGCGGTCTGCTGATTTCTTACCAGGTTGACGAGGCGTCGGAGTCCGTCCTGCCTGTCGAAGAGCTCCAGCACGGCACGGAAAGAGAAGGAGATGGAGAAGAACATGGTGGCGTGGCAGCAGCCGGACGCATGTGAGCACTCCAGCAGCCACAGCGTGTAACCAACCACATCTGACAGGATGGAGTGGGGCAACATGCACACCTTCAGAGGAAAGGACACTACAATGAATACAAATGTGCTCTGGCAGTAGTTATGCAATACTGATACAAATCTAGTATAGTTGACATGACAAGATCATTATTTTTATGACATTATTTGAGTAGCACTTTTCATGCAGAGACATTTTTTACATAAAATAAGGAATTGTTGTTAATATAACTACAACAGAAGGAACGGACAAGTTTGTTATTGTATCACTAAATTATAAAGAAGGCTTCACATTCTTTGAGGAATATGAAAATGTTACAGAGTCCAGATTATATCTCATATCATAATATATTGATATAACACAAAGCTTCAACATCTTTCTTTTAGCACATACAGTACCAAAACAAAAATCTGAAAGTAAAATATTATCCAGTTTGGCAGAAGTATAGATTTCATTGTGTATTTGCAGGATTTGTGTTTGTTTTGTACCCTTTCCATGGCATCCTGGTTATAGGCTAGGTAGTAGAGGCACAGAGACACTCCAGTAGCAGCCATAGACGGTCTGGGGATTTCCAACAACTTCTGAACTCCTCCATGAGCCACAAACTCTGCAGCAAACTTCTTGTGCAGCAGCAGAGAAGCCAGGTACTGCGAGAAGAGGAAAAGAAAATAGAAATAAGTCAGAAGTGCTCTGCCCTAAGTTTTGACAACAAAGAGGGTCAACAGGAGTAAATCGTTTTTACCTTGAGAGCCTCAAAGGTCAGCTGCACATCATTGGTCTGCTTTAGATCCATATAATGCATGAGCAGCTCACGAGCTCCCATCTGCATGAACACCGCCAGCAGCTGCAGGAGGAGGAGGAATGGGCATTAAAGACACTTGAATCATGTACATTCACTTTATTATAAAAGCCTATAAGTGACTAGCTGCTGGAACTAATGCTTAACATTAAAAAAGAAAACTGCAAGTCTTTACCAAATGTCCTGTATAAACGGAAAATTCACACTAGGGGTCGACCGATAATCGGCCTGGCCGATTCACACTAGTGATCGACCGATAATCGGGGCCGATATTCCGCATTTGACCGATTATCGGTATCGGCCTTTTTTGTATGAAATTGCCGATAAAACTTTGGCTCTGATGCGGCCGTTTCTCTGGCTGCAGTCACCACTCTCTGTACACGAGCAATGTCCCGCCCACAGCGCTATCTGATAGGCTATTACTGAAGTGTCAATCAACACTGAAGATTTTCCGGGCGGGAGCCAGCCAGAGAGGCGGGACCTTCTCAGATTACCGGCAGGTGCGAAGAACGCAGACACAGACTGAAGCAAGAAGCAGCGCTGAGCGGCAGAGCCATACATGTGTTTCGAAGGTAAATCAGTTGAAAGCCGAAGTTCAATAAACATCCCAATCCCCTATGCTGAAGTTGCAAAAACATCACGATCTTATGATCCAATTCTATCAGTTTCACAGTTACACAGGGACGCGGGAAGTCAGTCAGAGTTGGGGGTGCGTGCAACGTCTCGCAGCGGAGGGGGGGTTGATTCAGGTTGATATGTGAAGCTCATTAGCTAGCCAACATGTATCTAGCAAATGTTTAGCAAAATATTAGAAGTGAGGCTACTAGACTAACGTTAGGTCTACTGTAATAGCCTCACTTTTAATATTTTGCAAAACATTAGCTAGCACTTGTGTTTTGCAGTTGCTAGCAGCTTATTGGGATGTTATGCTAGATAGACAGGCATTGTTTTGATATAATAAATTAAGCATTATTGTTTGTTAAGCATGTCAGCCTACAGCCCCACTTTTAACTCTGTCTCTCTAACTCATTGCAGATGGCTGCACAAAAAAAAAGGAAACCAGTTGTAAGATGTTTAAAAGTCCATTGAACATAATATATGCTTAAATGCATTTCAAAGAGGTTGTGTTGGAGTTTGTGTTATTCTACATTTTGACACCAAGATTTTCTGATTTTACTGCAAATGTATATCGGTTCCAAATATCGGTTATCGGTCTCCTTGATTACTAATAATCGGTATCGGCCATACTTGTCAACCCTCCCGATTTTCGAGGGAGACTCCCGATTTCATTGCCCTCTCCCGGTTTCCTCCCGGGGTCATATTTCTCCCGATTTTTGACAAAATCAGATTTACTCAGGACTGTTTCCACTCGGACCTTAATACAGCTTCACCATTGTTTGGTTTCCATGGTAACACGTCTCTTTAGTAGCGCGCGCAACTGAAAGTCTGAGAGGGTGAGGCAGATAGTCACAGAAAACAGAATAGAAAACTACTCTACTCTCTGCTCACTCCTGCTCCTTTCCAGCCCACACATATGCTCCATCAAGGATGGTGCTACAAGCCGCAAGGCATTGCACTTACAACTACAATAAGCATGTTAATGTTAATCTAACAGCTCCGGCGATCCACTAGCACCCCCCCCCCTCTCCCCTATTTTGCATTTTGAAATGCTCCCGATTTCTGAGGTCTCAAGGTTGGCCAGTATGGTATCGGCCTTGAAAAAGCCATATCGGTCGATCCCTAATTCACACCACTCTTACAAAGTATATGACCAAGAGCAGAATCATTTATTTAATCAATATCATGAGGAAGACTGACATCTGCTGGACAGTCTGTGACAAGACATGGCAAATGCATAACAAAGGTTACTGGATAGAGCAAAAACAAAGCACTTCTACATGTACAATACAATACACTATTCCAGCTAAAGAGAATAGACAAACCTCCTGATATTCTCCCAGAGGGGTGAGGTACTGCAGGATTAGCCTCTGCTCGATTTCGGGGGTCAGAGGGTACAGATGATAGTTGTTGCCAATCACCCAGGGGCTCATCTCTGACCAGCTGCTGTTGGAAAGCTCGCTAAAGTTCCTCTCTGGGTCTGGCAAGGAGAAATTTAGCTTCTGTTTTGAGGTCCTGCCGCTCTCCCTATCTGCCTTCCTTTTCAGGAAGCTGCTGCCATCCGACATGCCTTGGTATGTCATTGAACCAGGGGCAGACATGGGCTTCATCATAGTCTTAACAGCAGAGTTGGCACGACTGCTGGTCTTATGAGGGGAGTTGAGTCGGAACGAAAGCTCGTTTTCAGGCTCGATGGTTGAGAAGGCTATTTGGCCATCCTCCTCTGTCCCCTCCCTTTCAGCCCCGTTCCTCCCCGGTGCGAAGGACTTCTCTTCAAAGCTTCCGTCAACAGTCTCCTCGTCCAAAGTGAGCAAAGGCTCACTCAAATTCTTCCAGGGGCTGGGCCGTTTGATTTCCCTTTTATTCTCAGCATCTTTATCCTGGAGCTCACGCAACCGATGCAGCATCAAAGGCACCTGTCAAAGTGAGGCAGTAAAAACAAGTTGATGGAAAGTTGCTACTTTACATTACATTACTTGCTAAAGCTCTATCAATTATTGAAATAACCTATCAGTATGTATTTTCATATTCGTATGTTAATTAAAATAAACATTTGGGACCGCAGTATTCCCTACTGACCAAAACAGAGTTCTCCTCCCTGTAGTTGGCTGCGATGTCCTGGTTCTCCATAGCCCCGGCCAACAAGCCCGTAGCGTAGATCCTGAGCGGCTGCTCGGCCTCCTGAGCCCACTTAAACAGCCTCTCAACTATGCCCTCCTGAGAAGAGCCAACACAGCGGAAGTTTGAAATGCATATAGAAACACAACTTTGAACTTTTTAAATCTACTTTATGACTCAACAAAACTACCGGGAAATCCTCCTTTTACCTTGTGCCCTATTCCATTATCAATTGCTATAGGCTAGGTAAATAAAAGAAACTAGTGTGCCTGAGTAATACCACAAGTGAAAATAAGAACTTATCCCTTTTTAATCTTACTCTACTTTGTTGCTGTTATGGTCTACTTTATTATGTATTCAATCATTCTAAACAGAAATCTATATTACTGCCTGTAGAAGGCCTGTAGAAGGCATGTAAACATGTATTATGTTCTTCAACCACTAAACCGAGCATGCTGAATATGCATCTGGGAAACTATAAGAACATCACAGGAAAATATAACAAGTGAAATAAATTAAACATGTTGTTTGAACAGAGAAATTAAAAATGCTTTAGTCTTTTTATTAGATAAGAAATCACCCACCTTTTCCTGAAAGACAACAGCCGTCTCCAATCCAGGCATGATGTTCTGAAGCAGGCGGCATGCTGCTGCATTTAGGGGAAATTCTCTGCTGGTCATCACATAGCTATTCACCAGCTACAAAAGAAGAAAAAAGGAATGAAACCCTTTCTAACTAAGAAGCTATAAATTGTCCCTTATTTTGCATAAAAACAGTCTTGGTTGAGTCCCTCCATTCTTACTGTGTTCATAAAGTCATCATTCTTGAACAGGATCTTGAGCAGTTGCCCCAACACACATTCTGGATCAGCTCTCCCTAGTGGCCAAAAGGGAAATGTCAAAAACATAAACAATATTCAAATCTCCAGCTTTCTTCACATCATGATCTTTTTCTGTCTTCTTTCATACCAGGGTGTCGATCATCAAAAGGGTCGGGGTCCGCTTTGTGGTATTCCTCTGTCTCTTTCTCAACAAGCTCTGAGATTCTGAAAGTTACAGCACATCAATCATTTACAATCTTTAAGTCGGCTGCACATTAGAACTACATTTGTTGAACTAACTAATCATACAGGCTTTTACAAAACGACTTACTTGGTGATGATGTTAACCAGCTCCTGTGTGCTGCCTTGCTGCTCCCTCTCCCACTGTTCCAGTAAAGCAGTCAGCTCTGCCTTGGAGTCCACGCTGGCAGACGCCGACGCCATAGCGCAGCCTGTCAGGGTAGCATGCACTTAGTATGTATTTATTTAATTAATAAATCAGTGGCTGCATGTTACTAAGTACATTACTCAAATACAGTAATTTGGTACAAATGTAAGGTACTTACTATTTTCTTATTATATAATATTGTATTTGTTCTAATACATATAAGATAAATATATATTACTTTACTACATTTATCGGACAGCTTTAGTTGCCAAATTCTTTTCACATTACAATTTTGCATCCCCTTCCCATAGTTAAAACAAAATGATGTATAAAATGAAGATTCTCCTACTTCTAGAAATAAAGAAAGTATTTAAAAAAACAACTGGAAAATACCTTGTCACAAAACTTAAAATATTTAGAGATATGTGGTTCTCACAGAACAGAAATGTACAACAGATTATGATATATCATAATATAGATTATGATAAATTTCTGCCAATAAAATTATGCAACAGTTTACAGAGGAGTTAAATATAGCAGGAGCTTTGACCTCTACAGCAGTAAAATGAATGTAGCAGTAATAATAAAATCCCCAAAAATAATATATGTAACATGATTCAATTAGTGATCACTACAATATATTAGAAAACCACTGCAAGGGAACATTTTGCTGATCAATTACTTCTTTAACTTTTCATACTTAAAAGTACGTTTAGCTGATTATTCTTAAATACTTAAACATACAGTAAGTGAGGTTCTTAATACAACGCTTCTACTTCTAGTACAGTATTTTCAGAGTGTTATTATTACGTTGCATCATCGCAATACTTCTTCCATCACTGTTAATTATTTACAATTTAGCCAAACGTAACCGCAACTCCAAGGGATGATAACAATGTATGACTTAAAATATTATTAAAAAAGTAGAATAAATACCACAGAGGTGCATGAAAACGATTAGTTCGCTAAAATCAGGACAACAAAGAGAATAGCAGAGTTGCTCTCCATCGCTTCACTGAAGTCAAACAACAGAGTGCAGGTGCAGTTGTCCTCCAGGGACTGCAACTGTCAAACACACAGATCTGATACTTTTAATGTTAGCATATATAATGAAATATATAAACCTACTTTCTTGTTTGTTCGGGAACAACCAATTCACAATTGCGTGTTTGAATATCTTACATTCACATACAGCTGATACTCACTGTACAAGGCAGCAGCAGCAGCCAACTCAGACTCTGCCTGTTGCGGTGTTTGGCTAGCTAGACTGTGGCTAAACAAGGAAGCTAATATACTTAGCCCGCAAGCGACGATCTTTAAAATGGCCACTTTTAAAGTCCAGTGCAATAGTTTACATTACGCCTGAGCTGTCCTGACATGAACAGCCTATTTGGTCGGATTCATATCATAGTCAAGCACTCAGACCTGCCTGTGCATGTAACCTAAGGCTAGCACTAGTAGCTAACAGCATCACAGGTAAACCAGGCTACTTAGCTAGCATGCTAACTTACCTCGTTGTTCGCTCAGTTCTTCCTCGGTTTTAGCGAATTTTCCAAGACTGATATCAGTCCAAACTTGGTTGCTCCTTGGTGAATATCTACGTACCGACCACTGTTTCAAAGCCAAAGCTTAAAATGCTACAGTGTAGCTTTGTGTTCACGGTTTATTATCATTATGGCGAACACGTTCCTCACGTCATTTCACGAGCGACAGTCCACTTTTAATGACGAAACGATTCAAGAGCAAAACATTGCGAAATATCACAACTGTCTTATTATAATTGACTACCAAAAATGATCTTGTTTAAACTTGCACGATAGTTCTTCAAATATATCAAAACCACTTGATGTGGACTGCTAATGTTGTCAACTGATTAAATAAGATGTATGTTATTTATTTTCGTTTTATACCAACTTGTACTTTTTGGCAAAATGTCTTTCATGTATTTTCCAATTATTTTTCCATCTCTTTTAAATTATTGTTCACTTACTCTTCTACCAAAGCAGATGACTTAGTCCGGTTGATTGTGTTACTTGCAAATAAATGAAACAAAAAGGAAATCAACAATACATTGCATAAATCCTATATCCTATAAATAGGAAATCTATCAAAACATTGATTCTCTGCCCATTTTGTGAGCAGATTCATGATATCTGCCAGTGCTCTGATTTCCTAGCGTTATCTGTTTATGTGTGTTTTATATTTGTACCATGCTTTTTGTTATTAAAAGCTTAAAAATAAATAAATACCATATATTTCCCAGCCACACGTTCATTTCTGTTTTCACACAGTACACACAGCAAAAGGCTATGGAAGGGCTTGACAGGATATATCATATCGACTCGATTCATGCAATGGAAATCCAAGAATAATATTAGCAAAAATGAAGAGATTCACAAATCCATACATATTTATTGGAATCGAAAGCCTTGCATAACTTTATTCTTCATAGGAATTATTGCAAATGTGTGTCTTACATTGTCATACACATTAAAACCATTTGTTACATTCACGTAAAAAAATATTCATTTTGCAATGAAAGCAAACTGATTAGGGTAAAATACAAACAAAAGACATTAAACAATTATTGATGCAAAAACACAATACAATTTCTATCACATTATTTGTAACAAAATCACTGCTGCCTTTTTAAAGCGAAAGGGTTCAGGATTTAGGGTTATATAATAATAATAATAATATAACAATTTGTTTATGTGGTGCGTGAATAAAATGGCACGTAACAATATAAATGATTTCCTAAAAATAAGTAATATTGTAGTAATAAGTGAAACATTTATTAACGTCTGTGTAGCATTAAAGGTCAGTTATTATATATATGCAGTGAGAGTTGCCAAATAAATGTTGTTGTACTTTGTATGATGACAATAAAGATATATTCTATTCTATTCTTTAAGAGGCATCAGTTTTACTAACTTGTGGAAAGTTCATAGGTTAAATGCCTCTGTTTACCTTTATTGAACAATCAACTGTCCACATGTCAGGTACTCAGCACTAATCAGCAGAACTGACCTGTATCTCAATCTGTCTTATTTATTTAAATCTATTGGCTTGAAAGGAAAAAACCTTCATACACAACCATTCCAATTACATAACAGTACAGCAACAGGTTGCAGGATAGTCATCTGCATTCACTGTGAACTCATTCCCGTAAACAAAGTAAATGTGTGATTTCCCTTTCCATGAGTAGGTTACCTTGGTAACAGGGATCAGCTCTATGGTTTGACGCTGCAAAAGAAGAGTTTGAATATGAGCATGTTAGAAAAACAGAAGATTATAGACTTTGATCACAAGTATTGTCCAGTTCATGTTGAAAAAATGTTCTTATATCCAAGTAGTAGGCTATAAATAGAGTGGATGCAACATTACCTGTTGTAGAATGCGTGACGTCCTGGAGTATTTGCCTTGGTGATCATGGACAAGGCGCTGTGCAGCGTTCACCACGGTAGGGTCTGGGAAGCCTACCAGTGGGTACACCTGCACAGAGTCAACAGAAAAAAGTAAGTGTTAACTTCACAATACTATTGATGACATTCATTTGTTTCAAGCATGCTTAGACAACTATGTCACCTGAATGACACCTGCACCAAGGATAAGTATAAGACCCATACATTAACACATTGCATGGGCTACATAGTGGAAGGACGGTGTCTGAAGCAGCAGTTTCAGACCTCTATCAGTGTCAGACAGGAAGGATTCAGCCACAGATATGCTGTGTGGTCACCCACACTTTGACTTACTGAGAGCCAAAAATGCATCGTCCCAATAAAAACTAAAGAGAATATACTTCAAGCCTAAAAAGAGGCTTCAGGGTTAATCAATGTTGTGTGAGATGGTAGACCATTGCATTTAATGTGGTTGAAACACATCCTGTGTTGACAACCTGTTTGTGTAAATATAAAGGTGACTTTAAATGTGTACAACTAACCAGCAGGCAAATATTCATAATATTTTGTAAAGGAAAATGTATAATTTGCTTTGAGACTCAAGATTTTGACTAATCTAGAATATCAATCCTATTACAATTGATTTAAAGAAAACGAGCACCAACATTCCTCACGAAGAAATCTGCATGTACTATGTGTTAAAAAACAAAACACATAATACTCTAATACCCATATGTTGTGCCCGCTGAAAAAGTGAATAATAATATTTTACCAGGTATTGAGTGTCCCTGAAAAGCTCCTTGCCGGACACCTTGCTGAGATTTTCTGCCTGCAGCCCACTGGACTGTTCTACCACATAGTTCTCAGAGTTGTTGGTCCTGCAAGAATGTACATAAAAAGGAAGAAATCCAGATTAATTTTACAACTGTAAAATACAATACAACAACAAGAATATAAAATACCCATAAATGTTGTTGACCTTTACATTGTTAAGGAAGACTATTAATTTAATTCAGTGGTCACCGCAACCTTTTTAAGCCCAAGATAACCAACCTCGGCCTAGGTGAAAGGCGAGATCTACCTATTGCAGAATTGAGTGAAAAAGACGGCCCAGACAGTGCTTCCAATTTGAGGGCTTTTATATAGGCTAATTGCATCTGAATTACTGTTACAATGAAGGCTCCATAATCAGCTCACGGCATATAGGCAGGGGTAAAGTGCTATTTTTTTTAGAGGCAGACCTCACCTCCTCTAGGGGGGTCCTCACCTCCTCTAGGTCCTCACCTCCTCTAGGGGGGTCCGGGATGATGTTCCCCCAGGAAGATTTTTTTTAAATATCCAAGTTGAAAGTATCAATCCGATACACTTTGAGAGCAACATGAAGAGATCTATGGATACCTATCTCAGCACCCGTATGAAACAGAACTGTAAACACATTTTTTTGTCTTTATGGATATTTTACAAATCACTCACCTTTTAAACTGTATTCTTGTTTTACTGCCATATAGTATTTCATACCTGTTTTTCATTTATTCTCTTATTGTTTGTATAACTATAATGATCATATGAAGGTGTGCCGCGGAAATAATCTTTTGAATAATTTGTGACAAAACCGTTCTAAACACTCAAGAGTCCTTTAGCTCACCTGAGCCCCTCAGTCTGACAGGAGAGGACTCTCCTCCAGCTTGTTGTGGAAACAGCTCCTTATGTCCGTTAGTGCTGCTAGCTAACCAGATGCTAACATCACGGTCCCCGCTAGCACCAGTCCCCCTCTCCCCCTCTCTATCACACTAAACGAGCTTGAATGACACAAGCACACGTGTATTTCCATGCAACTCTCTGATTGGTCTGGTGACTTGCCTCTGTTGCATTCACAGAACACGGGAAATTGCAATCCTGCCGTCCTCTCTTGTGTCATGATGAGGATCACGTAAAGCACGGTTAATGTATTATATTATTGAGGTGTCTCAAATATACGTCAATCAAGTGGCACCTGCTAACGGGGTGGTGGATGATAGGTTTACATCTAAAATCGTATTTTTCAAACATTATTATTTTTATTTTATTTTTCTTTCTTTTGTTACTTTTTTTTGTAACGGTCCGCGATCTACCCGCACCACACTCGCAATCGACCGGTCGATCGCAAACGACTGGTTGGCGACCACTGATTTAATTAGTCATGTCAATATTTCTGACAGATATGTTACCATTTCACAGTCAGGTTAATGTAGAGCAGAAGCTGTTGTTGTCCATGACATGTCTCACATTGCATCGATCCTTTCCCTTGACAGCGGTTGCAACTGTAAACAGAAAATTGATTATTAACTATAAGTGTATTTAAGAAAAATCAGAAACTTTATAAATTGCACTTCATTAGGAAGCTATGAGATATGATGGATTACACTTACTTTTCCCGCCCTCTGCCACTGCAGTGGTGGCATCGATCTTCTCCGTGGCGGAATCCAGAGCCATTGCACACCCAACAAACTTTCTGGAAGTAGCAATAAAATAAATCATATGATCAGAGGATGAGGATTAAAGTCCGAAAGTAACCCTTTAGATGAGTGTCTCTTTAAATGACTTACGTTACCAGCACCAGCACAGTCCTTGCAAGGTCTGCGCCCCATTCCGACACAAACGTGGCAGGGCTGTAAATAAAATGTTTTTATCAAACATACTCTTAAAAATAGCTTTTCATTCCTGACACATGTGTTTTGTAATTTACCTTTGTTGACGATGTGTAGGGAACCTTCATAATCTGTTGGTCGTCCACAAAAAAGGTCGGGGCTTTAGCATGAACGTCCCATGGTCCTGGAGGTGGTTGGGCAAAGGCATCCACTGGCTGGCCTAATTGAAATGAAACAACATATTATTATTAATAATAGCAGTTGCTTATAAGTAGCTTGCTGACAGCAGAAAACAGAGAGTACAACGTATCTAATGCACAAGGTAGTAGTGCTGTACCTCTGTATGGCTCGTGACTCCACTCAGTAGATCTTGATTCAGTAAATGTCTCCAGCCGGTACTAAAACAAAGTAAACACACAAGAGAAGTATTTACTTATGCACTGGTCATCCAAAGCAACCATTCAAAGTACTTCTATAGATTTCCCTGCCTTTCAAGCAGGTTTTTCAAACTCAAACTTGTGTAGAAATCTCCTCTTACCCTGTATGTATTGAATGCATCCATTCGAGTAATCACACCGTCCTTAGCTGGTCCTGAATTGTAGCAACACTTGCTGGAGGCAAACAGGACAAACGCCGCCCGGGCAGTATCTTCTGATATAGATGGGATGCTGTTGGAAGGGAGGAAACGAGATACAGTGTGTCATTTGGTGAAATGTTTTAAGAGGAAGTGATGATTGGAATAGTGCCTGTGTGCTCCGAATCTTACAACACATCGTAAAAAATGTTTTGCAATTCCTCAAGCAGTCGTGTTGAAAAAAATCAAATGACTTTTTCTTACTTCCAACTTGGTTGTGCAGGTCCAGGTTCAGGCTGAGGAACTGGGAAAGCAGGCATCGGAGGGGGCAGAAATCCACCTAGAGCAAATAATGAAAACAATGTTTGTACTGTTTAGCAATCATTCCTGGTGCTTTTGTTTATACAGTGCAGTATACACTTTATCGTAACAGTTTGCCAAAACATTCAAGGTTTTCATAATAGTGTTTAGTTTTGATTGACACAGTCAAAGAGGTCCTCATTATGTTATGCCCACCACAGTTACAAACGGGGGTAAACAAAGAAACACATACATTAAATTGTAGTCCAGTTACACGCCATTACTTCTGACAACTTTTAATTACCAACAGGAAAATGTCAACAAAAACGTAAAATTATAAGCTTGATGAAGAAGAAAAATAGAGCTGTAGTACTGGATTGATTTAAATGTTATGGGAGTACCAAATCAAGTGGTGTGACTGTATGTGACAGTATTGTGAAGTGTGATTTTTCACAGAGACAGTCATTTTGTAGAATATAAGTGCTTATGAGTATTTTCAGCATACTGTACCTCCTCCTCCTGCCACTGTTCCTTCATAGCCAGGCATGCTGTCAAACATGCTGGCTGGAGGAGCGCTGGGTCCCTGGGGAGCAGCGGCGGGTGGGGCGAAGAGAGCTTCAACAAAACAAGAAGAACCAGTTTAATCATGGATGTACTTTTACAGATTAAAAAAATCTTCAGAGATTGCTCTACGCGTCGTAAACAAACGACGTTTAGACATATTACAAATGTCTAAACCGTTAGATAATCTTCTGCACATTCCTACATCTTTAAAGAAAATCCTGTTTAATACTTGACATTTCCAAGTTGTAACATGTTTTCTACGTGCCAGCTTCTTCAACACCTGAATACATTGTTTTGAGAGAGACTTACCTTGCTCCTCCATGGTAATATCCACTCAAGGAAGGTTTACAGCTATACTAAAGACTTGACCAAGGGTAAAATGCTTTAACAAACACTTTAACTTCTAGATACGTCTCAAAGTATACAACTCCAACTAAAGCAGTTCAGTAAAGCGACTATCGCGCTAACAGCCTCAAAAAAACCTGTACGTAAAGTGACGTCATTTTGGTGTGTCCATGTGAGACGGAAGTGTGCAATTATAAATGTTGTAGGATAATGCCTTTACATACACGTCATTACAAATTGCTAAACTTGAATTACTGCTTTACTGGTCTTACCGGGTCCCCCCTCTGCTGCTAGCATATAACCGGGGTTAGCCATTCCGTAGGTTCGGTTCCCTTCGCTGTCAAGTAACGGGGAAACGAAAGTAAGGCAAGTGATGTGAAAAACAATGTGGGCTAAATTCAGTTTCAAGTTCAGTAAAAAAAATCATCAGATACTTACCCAACAATAGGCTGATACTCCATCTAAAGTGCTAGAAAACAAACAAAAAAGAACTCCTTCATTCGGGATCTAATCCCACACACACATATGTGAATATCGCTTATCACCAATAATCATGTGACAAAAAGGAAATCATTCACCTCGTATCAAACCACACCCCCGGGTCATCTGACAATCAGAAGAAGTCTTCTTCTGATTGTTAAAAAGTACTTAACTTTTTTCGATGTGTTGGTTGAGTGCTGTGGTTAATAATTATTTCGAGAAAACGCACTCAGTTTAAACAAGTAGAATGTAAAAGCTTTCACCAACAAAAACAAACTGTCCAGGAAGTGCGCACAAAGTTTCATAGTAAACATTTGTGAAGGTGGGCGTACAGAAAGCGTTAATAACAATAAAACCCCCAAAACAATTACAACAACACAGGTATTTAGTTTCATGCACTTGCACTCAATCGTTTTTGAGTAAAGGTGTACATTCGAGTGGAATACAACAGGAACTAAAAGTAAGTGTAGTTCTGATGAAATACAGTACCCATAAGCCTTTGCGGCACTCGCGGAAGTTCTTTTCTTCCTTTCCGCCGTCGCCGAAGTCCCTTTTGGATTTTCATCGGCGGGTGAGTCGATTCAATCTATGTTCATCAGCGCGATTTAAGGCGTTATTTGACCATACTGATACATGTTACCAATAATAGACGTCCACCCTACACATGTTTGTTAAAATTGACCATTTTCTAATATTATTCCGTGATTAATGTGTTGTTCTTTAGCGAGGTGTTTCGGCTGGCTGGGTGCTAGCGCTCTCCGTGAAATGGGGTTGTCTTACTCCGTAATAATTCCGCTGTACGACGTTGCTTACAGTTCATTCTTAAACAACAACCACCCGTTGCCAACATAAGACGCACATCAAATGTACACTTTGGTTCACGTTATACATCTGAAGCAGAATGAGCAGAGTAGCATGGCTAGCAAGCTAACTAAACATTGACTGCACCGTAAAAGCTAGTTTGCTAGCTGACTTTGGTCCACACGTTTACCCTGAGGCTCGCAAAGCAGAAACGTTGATGTTGACTTAGAACAGACATTTTCCACAGCAGACATTTTTACACGTCCTAGTATCGAATTGTGTAACTTAGTATTTATATAACAATAAACTTAGCTGCATTCCACTAAAAGGAAGTCCTGGTGTTGTGCATGCTGGTTCAATGCTTAAGCTTCCCAGGGCACTTGATGCCAATGAGCATTCGTTAGTTGTTAATGTGACGAGTCTGCTCTGTAAAAGATCTATCAATGTTATTATTATGTTGTCTAAATTGGGCAGTGATTTAGGAGCAACTTCAAACTAGCATAGAAAACCCTTGTAGCATGCAGGTTCAATGCTCCAACACCTGAATATACATGCTTACTTGGTGGTTAACTTGTTTCCCCCCCATCCTTAGTCACCATGGCAGCCCTCAGGCCCCTCAAAAACCCCAAAATCGTCAAGAAGAGGACCAAGAAGTTCATTCGCCACCAGTCTGACAGATATGTGAAGATTGCGGTAAGCCTTTCAAGAAAATACTTCACATGTTAAGCTTTGTCTTAAACCTGTCCCTGCAAGTGATTCATTATTGGTATGTCTTTTTCTTAACTCCAATAGAAAAACTGGCGTAAGCCCAGGGGTATTGACAACAGGGTCCGCAGGCGGTTCAAGGGTCAGATGCTGATGCCCAACATCGGTTATGGTAGCAACAAGAAGACCAAGTTCATGCTGCCAACCGGCTTCAAGAAGTTCCTGGTGCACAATATCAAGGAGCTGGAGGTCCTTATGATGAGCAACAGGTAAGCTGTAAATGTTTACTGGGAGTACATTTTCCTTGCATGTCCAAGTTACTGATATCAGGCATGCACAAGAGTTTATCTGTTTGCTAGGATTTGAAATACCTGCTGAACCTTCAGTTTCAGGTGAAGGAAATTATAATTGCAAAAGCTTAACTAAAGCTTACAAAGAAAAACACTTAATACTGTACATACGACAAGTTTTACATTTATTATTTTGACTATTACATTGTTTATTCACCAATGCTGGAATTCTCAGCCTATAAGAAAAAAGACATGTCTATATGCCTCAAGGGCTGAGTATGTGAACTGAACCTTCAATGGCATTTGAATAACTGATCTGACCGTTTTAGGCAGAAGATATAGTTCCACTCGGTCCTTTAAGTAGAAAGGCTTATAGATGTATTTGCATTTGGCACAATCTAATCTGTTTTAGGAAATGTATGTTCATGAATTTCTCATTCATAGCCCTTCAGGTTGGTTGTAATTTGAACAAAAACAAGTTGGTTTTAATCACGTCATTGAGTTTTCTTAAGGGATGGAAGCTAGCTAAACAATAATAACAGATGCTGAGGCGAGCAGATGGCAGTGACTACATATTAGTTTTAAATGTTAAGATGACTGTGAAGTAGTTACAGCTCAAAGCATTCATCTTAGTTTGAGTTAAGAAAGCGTGATATTCTCGTGCTTATCATTGATTTTCTTCTTTTAGTGATATGGCTTCCTTAATCTTAGAGTTTGGTCTGATTTACCAAAGATCAACTCGCCAATTTCAATCACTGAGAGGGTGAATTGTATTTAACTTAATGTCTGTAATCTGAAGGAATCAGCTGTAGAGTAATTCTGAGGGCAGGGAAAAAACGTTTGAATCTAAAGGTGTAGAACTCACTAAGCTGTTCAATAGTTCTAATAAATGTGAATCACGTTGATTTGATGTGGGGATATTGTGTTTACCCAAGACCATCTTCACATTTGGTTCAAAATGGTCCATGCTGTATGAAGCTCAGACATCTTTTTAGTATAACATTTCAAATTGTAATCTTTAGACTGACTTTTTTAAGTCAATAACACTAAGGGTAGATGATTTCCTTCTTTCTTTCTGTAGTTGGTCACATTTAGTGGCACTTTTTAAAAATGAATTCAGTGACCCCGTGTCAGTGTTTAAACATTGCCCTAAAAGCTAAATGATACATTGGGCCAAAGCTGCTCTAATGTTTAAACACATTTTACAATGTCAGTTTATGTTTGCAGGAGTTCAGAATCCATTTTCATTGTGTTATCTGAATAGAAGAGTTTCTTAATTTGATGTACTGATGTTGATTTCTGTATTTACTACAGTCTGAATCCTAAAGCCGTTCTCTCCCCCTCTGCAGGACTCACTGTGCTGAGATCGCCCACAACGTCTCATCCAAGAACAGGAAGACGATCGTGGAGAGAGCCGCCCAGCTGGCCATCAAGATCACCAACCCCAACGCCAGGCTCAGGAGCGAGGAGAACGAATAAACTGGTTATTCACAATAAATGTTTAAAAATCAAAAATGACGTGAGATCCTCTTTTACAACTGAATTGCTTGTTGGCAGTATTGATGCACATGTTTGGAAAGCCCAGTTTGTGAACCATTTTTAAAAGTTGATATGATGTTATCAAGGAGAAAAAACTAAGTTTTAATTGGTTGTGTGGGTGAGGAGAGAAAAACATCTTCAGTCAATATAAATGGTTTAGATTAATACTGGCTCCTAGTAATGTTCTGTTTTTGTATTCATAAAATCAAAACGAGTTTGCTTATGACCCTTACAATAGTTTCACTGTTGGAGCGTGATCCAATTTTATAAAAAAAAAGAACCTTATTTTTTCCTCCTGGGGCACTAGTTATGTTATAAGGGGCACAGGCATCAACATTTTAAGGATCTTCTCCCACATGCATGAGTTGGTGTCCACACTGATGGCCACAGAGCTGGTTGGATTCCCCCTTGGGTACATTGGGTTATTCCTCTTTTCCCTCCAGATCACTGGATGCTGGGACAGGACCAAAGGGGCTAAACTGCTGCAAGGAAAGTGTTCATGCTTCAACAAATGTTGGCTTTAGCTGTCAAAGAACTCTTAATTACCGGGGTTTTGGTCGTTTTGTTTTTTATGTCAATTTTACCAGAATAACTTGCTGTTTATTGAACATTGAAATCCCAGATTACATGTTTATCTAAATATAGCCTGGTGTTAATAAAAAAAAAAAAAATAGAACTAGAACCAGCAAGACAAAAGCTAAGTTTAAAAAATCAAACTTTCTTTATTTCAATGTGGTTAGTCTAAATTGAAATAAAGAAAGTTTGATTTTAGTTACACAGTGCTGACATCTCAATTTTAACTTGAATTGAATCTCTCCTTGGCATTGAGGGGTTAGTATTTAAAAAAATCCCATAATGATAAAATACTCGGTATCCTGTAATAATTGACACAGAAGCTACTTCTCACAGGTTTTAGACTAATAACAAGGAGTCAGGGGGCTGGTGTAATGTCAGTACATCCAATACACCGTTATCAGAAGCCTTAAAATGGCCAGCTCGGATTGTATTTTGTTTGATGTTCAGAGCCGGCACCATGCAGAGAAAGTTTCCATTGCACTACGGCAGGCAAGCTGTGCCCCACAGCCCTGAGCCCTCTGCCATCTGCTCCTGTTCAACTGACACTGCCAGAGATGCAGAAACATAACATTTATTAAGCCAGCCAGCTCGTTGCTGTTTGAAACTAAAGGAAGTGAGTTACCAATGCTGGTTGAAGGGGAAAAAACAGGCAGTGTTGGATCTGAATATTTCCTCTTTTTAAAAAAAACATGCACCTGTTTCTTTATCAGCTTTGAGCGAGCACCTAAGAAGACTGGAAGCTCTCCAGAGAGGGAGGAGAACACGAGAACAGCAGGACAGAGGGAGACTGTGATGTCTATAAGACGCTGAGTGTGAGGAGGAGGATATGATCCACTGTTTCCTTTACACTGGACAGAAGATGAGCATGTCAGCACGGGTCGTGTTTGGAAAAGGGCGCCTCACTCCCAAGCAGCTCTCCTTCGCTTTCCCTCAGTCAGATTCCCTGAGGAAAGGCAGCCGGTCTGCAGGAGGAAAGAGGATGTTCTCGTTTTCTGTAAGATGTCGACTGGGCATCATCAGAGGCAGAACCAAAGGTAAAACTGACAGCAAGGATATGGCATCTTTTAGGGAATGGTAAAATTTCATCTGTTTTCTTTGATATTTAAAACAACATGTGAGGGTTGAAAGTTTGTAATTTGCTCATTCATGCAGTTTAAGAAAATAACAGTTTTGTTGCCTGCACAAAACATTTTTGAGTATATATTTAAAAAAATGCCTCCAACATATATTACCTGAATTACTTAAAAAAACAAACAAAGAGTCAAACTGTATGTGTGCAGCAGGCCTGTTAAAGTCACTGAAGTCTGGGCTTTTGACAGACCTTTAAGGTCAACACTGAAGCACGAGCATGTGTGACACATCCTCATCCTCTGGCCCTTTATGTCACACAACGATCTGTGCTGGCTGACAAGTGAATTAGTCATTGTGCTTTTCAGCCTTTCACTTGCAACTGGATGAGTTCACCATAAGAGGGCAGTGTGTGCAGTTTAAGAAGCAGGTTAAAATTCAGGCCCTGCAGCCCAGATTACACACTTTGTCTATGCATAATGAAGGCTATTTTCAGAAGGGTTATTGTCACAATAATAAACATGCAGACTGTACAAACCTGCACTGAATAGAGACACTATAGTAAACAAAGTTGTATAATCACAGCTTTCTGAGTCTTTAATATTTAGAAGCTTTTTCAGTCTTCTTAAATTCTGTTTCCCTTATTTATTTTTTGTCTAGTATTCTCAACCTACTTTTATATGGCGATGTACCAGCAAACAATCTGCTTCCTTAATCCAATCATTACATTATCACTTACTCATTAATTAGGTTGAAATCTGCTCTAGAGGAAGTGTGAAAGAGTCAATTTGTTATTATAACCCAACATTTGCCACCCTGTTCCCAGGGGTTTTTATCAGTCCAACACACTCCTACTTCTCCCCACTCTCTTTATTCTGTTGGAAATTAATTAGTCTCGCTCTGAAAGACTGCGCTCGCTCACATTGTAAATGGCGTATTAAGGACTAAAGTCTCTGAGGAAATTATCAACACCAAAAGAGTATTGTGTCCACTGTAACAGCTGACTAATTAAGGCTCCCTGCTACAGCGCGTAGAAGTATGGAAATGTTTGTTTGTAATCACTTCCACAGATCTGTAAAATAAGCAGTTATAGAATATAGGGTATCACTTCACATTGCGAAATCCTTAATTGTGTGTAGTTTGGTGTGCTGTATGTATCAGTGATGACAGGAATTTGTCCGCAGTGATCAAAGCAAATTAGGCAGACGAGACTCTGAGGGGCTGCCAGTGAAAAAGGCGCATGTTGTTGTTTTTGGTGGTTGCAGTGGGGGTCATGAAGTGGCGGGCGTCAAGGCGTGTAGCATGACAAATGGTCAGACAGGTGTGGGGACGGATCATTCAACAGACCTGTAAGTCCCTCTGTAATCGAGTGGAGGCACCTCAGTGGCCCCGGACCCTCCTGAGAGAGAAACAGGAGATGCTAGGCTTTAGAGGAAATGCATTTCATTTGAACACATCAGCCAGATTCTAAATGTGTCTTTATTGCTTTAACTTTCACTTGATCACAGTATGACAAGTCAAATCTGTCATTAGTCTCGTGTCCGACAACTGCACATAACATTTCAACTGCTGGACATCTCAAACAGGCAGCTGTTCTGCACAGGAATTTTGCAAATGCATGTTTCCATTATGTGCTTGTGTGTGTGATTGTTGAAGAGAGAGAGAGAGAGATACTATTACTGAGAAGATACAAGCTCTGTAAAAATGGATGCAGTCATTCTATGTGAGAAAAAACGTGACAAAGCAGGGCTCAGTCTGACAATGAATGTGCAGGTGGTGTTAATTGTGCAGAGAGTTGAGTGTGTGTCGCTGCGTCGTGCCTAATCTCAGTGTGTGTAGATGTGTGTGGGTGGGTTTGAGGATGTGCATATGAGGGGTGTTTGACTTGGTGGCAAATGGATAAAGAGTGTGTGTGTGTGTCTGCTGGGGGAGGGAGTGACGATCGTGTGTGCCTGCCTCACTGAACCCCTCTGGCAGGGAGAGAGAGAGAGAGGGAGAGAGAGCAAACACACTCATGCTCTGGCTCTGTAGAGAGAGGAGGGTTATGTGTGAGCTCTTCTGAGTGTATGAACAGGGGATGATAAACCCTCTGGAAAAGGACGGCTGATTAGTGAGAATAGCTCCAAAATGGGACCACGGCAAGATGGGAAGAAAAGGACATGAACCATTGCTCTCCATGCTGTGGATCTTTAAAGAAGAACAGCGCTTGGTAGATTTATATTTTTGAGCAGTTTAAATAGAAAGGGGAACAAGAGACCGTCTCAGGATAAGAATTTGCCCTCTGGAGCTCAATTCCTCACTGGGTTTGACAAGCGGGGACAAAGGTTAAGGAAATGTTAGCAAAGGAATGAAGAAACGAAGATGGTGTTTTTGTTTCATTTGAGCGGCTAAGATTATTTTAACCTCAGGTGGAACCTCAGCTCTCTGCCCACTACTAAAGATCAGCAAGGTTACTTCCCAAGGGGGCTGCTCTGACAAAACTACAGCCATGCTGTGTGGTCTGAGGAGAGACTCCAAGAACAACAGCATTGGTAAGAGCACCACACTTTCCTCTTCAAGTCAAGGGGGTCAGCGTGTGTGTTGTAGTAGAGGATTTGTGTCAGTTGGATCACCTGTGAAGAGCGGCTTATGTCTTAAATGTGTATTGATTCGGAGGGACAGTAACTGAGAAGTGTCAACCGTGTGTCTCTTTTAATCTGTAATCTATATGGCCTGAACACAAGTCCAGTTGAATCTACAATCATTGCAATGCATGTATCTTGCTTGTCATTGGTTAAGAGGGATTGAAATGTCAGTAGACTTGAGCACCAGCTCTGAATGCCTTCCTGCTGCCATGTGCAATTGGGGCAGATATAGAAATGTAAACTGGGTCTGGCAGGGCCCCGTTTATAAATAAAGTTTTATGACTGAAAATAGCATTATGATTTCATTGTCATTGTGAGTGCCACCCCCATATTTAACCTACATTCTGATTGGTTAGAAGAGGGATGGCATACAGTGGCCTGAATTAAACCAGGAGTTAATTAACTCTCCACATATTCATGCAGTGGCACAGAATTTTATTTTAGTCAGTGTGGCGCTCCAAGGTCCTTCTGGCAAACCTCATCCTTGAGCCCTCAACTAACCTCCTCTTCAAAGACAACAAAGCAGATATCGTTTTTTTAACAGTTGTTTGTTGGGGCTGTTTATTAATCAGCTCCATCCTGATTTTTATTCTGCCCGTTAGGATAGATAGTTATTTTAAGCTGGAGGAGGATGGCTGGGGGATGCCTTGATGGTACAGTAGCGCTCAGTCACGTGCCGAGCGTTGGGTCTGCGTTACCCAGAGCTAATGTTGCCTTTTGACTGCAATGACATCTGCTGGACTGTCAGGGCCCTCTGGAGCCCGCATGGTTTCAAGGCTTTTGCCCGGCCTAATGTGTTTATTATGTGTCATTCACTCACTTTGTTTGTGCCTCACAGCTACTGGACAGGATATTTGTGCAAGGATGTGTGTTAATTAGTGTGAAATACCATACTATGCATATGTATGTTCTATGCTTTGCCATTACATATATATGCCAAGTCCAGTAAGGATATTTCTGTCATTAAGGTTTGACTCATACAGCTGTGTGCATTAGGAGGCAGGGTTTTCTTCTTCACTCCTCAGATCCAGGGCCTGCCCAAAGGCTTCAGGTCAGTAAAGGTCTGACAAAGGCCTCATCTTCACTTAGGCAGATGTGGAAAGTTGATTGACTTGGACAGAGAGAACGCAGTTTGTTTGATGTCCTGCGAGCATTTGCTTTCCCCTGCTCAGTCTTTACAAATCAGCAAGACTGAAGAGACTGAACTGGGGAAATAGAGGATGTCGTTTTTCATATCAAATTGATTTACTGTCAGGCCTAGGATGATTCCTCTTAAAATGATGGACAAGACAAAATGTTGACATTAAGAGCACATGGAAGTAGATCACATAATAGATCACATAGTAGATTACATAGTAGATTTAGTTGACTGTTAGTTTAGTTGAAAAAAATACCAAATGTTATATCACTATATAAAGTGGGAGAAGACTGAAGTTTATATATTATCACTCTATATTATATATTTGTCTTCCTAATATTTGGTAGATAAGCAAGATTTAAATTGAAGGGGATGCCAACAGGAAGTAGGCCATCCTGTAGCTACAGTGTAGTAGACCTGTTTACATGGAGTTAGCTCTAGGCTACAACCTGAACACCATTTGCTTTTAGCCTACAGTTTTCATTTTGGAAATGTATCACTATTTCAATGATGCCGAATTAGCTATTAGCGTTTCCTGTTTACAATCTACAGACAACTATCACTGGATTACTGTAAAAGTGAGGAAAACCTAAAAAATGGATGATTCTCAGGCAAGTTCTGTAGTTACAAGGAGCGTCTTTTATCATGCAATCTAGAGCGAATTATTCGATCTTTATCCCGTTTCAAATCGAGTAAATTATATATTTTGGAAGTTACATTGTATATCAAAATGTGTGTATCAATTATGTGTGTCCAGATTTGTTTAAAACTCAGAGATAGAGTACTATCTTTAACACGAAATGCGGTAACCGGGTGTGTAAGAAATGTACCTCCATAAACACCAGCATGCACCTGTCTGCCACATCACGCTGTAACGTTATCTGTCCACAACGCCGTACAAATGTAAAGTTGATACAGTTTCTTAATATCAGTGTTAGAAGAACAGGGTTTTTTAAACAAGTCTCTGGGCATTATCAAAGCAGCCACTGGAGACCTTATCTTGTGGGAACTTAAGTTTGGTGGTTGCAGCTCGCTCGAGGTAATAACATGGCCCCTCCATTCTTAAAAAGAGGCCCTTGCACATATCTTCTTTAAACTGTTAATATGATGTTCAATCACTGTGCCGGACTGCTCAAAAGGTAATCCTCCCAGTGGACAGGATTAGAGAAGTGCAAAGTCCGTTTCCCCATCACTGTGACTGCTGACATGCTTGTATGACTGCTTTCAGGTTCAGATGGCCGTGCAGGGGCTCTGCTAATCTGAGACCGGCCCTGTGCTCTGTCAGCAATGGCTCCCACAGTGGGTTAAAAAAAAAGAAGGAATAAAAAAGCAGTTTCCCTGCAGAGCAGATTGAACATTTCCCAGCTGCTGTAAATGACATGAAAAGTATGATTTTCTCTCTAGCCCGAACAGTCCATTAACCGCATGCTGTTCCTTCAGGAAAATTCCCGTGCTTTAGGAGCAGCATACATCAAGCACACCGCAAATGTATTCTTGTGTTAAATTAATGGTTTTCAAGGGTCTCTGCTGCAGACTGAGAGGAGCTATTTGAACATTTTACATGATTGTGGAAACAAAGTAGGATGAGCTGTCTTTGTTTCACCTCAGTTTCATGCCTGATGTATGGATGTGGCCGTCCCCCTCACCCCCCAGAGCCCTCACGTTTCCCAGGGTGAAGCTCAAATCTAAATGTGTGCAGCAGCTGTCCTGGTGTGCATTGGATGGTTATGTTAATTTAGCCTTCTGCTGCAGAGTTCCCCTACATGTCACCACACTGCTTCAGAACATAACAGCACCTCCTCCCTGCTGTCTCCTCAGATGAAGGGCCATACTCAAAGGGGAGCAAGGACTCCGCCGCACCTGACCAATCAGGTTCGTCCTACAGGCGCAGCTTCTCAGGTACAATACAGTAAAACCTGACATTTGATTGCTATCTGTTATCTAATTCATGATACTGCGACCTGGAAAAAGAGTTGTGCTGAGATGTTCATCTAGATGCACCTACAGCCATGTGCCTGCTGGGTTTTGCTTGATGTTGCACTGTTTTGAATGCTTAGATAAGGTGAAAAAAACCGCTTGTATAGCATACCTGTCATTTGTACTAAACCACACTGGGTACACTTCACGTAGAACGATTTAACAGCACAGCAGAACGTACACCAGAAGACAGAATGAGTCCTCTGATAACACTATAAAGCCGCGTATCCATCAGTCAAGAAAATCACTTTCATTCACTTAAGAATACAATTGGATTTCATTTTATGACCTGATGAGTCTGCTGTAATTTTCAATGAGTGCCTCTTTTATGATAATGCATTTAATTTCGCTCCATTGTCAGTGCAAGAGATGTGTGTGCCTTTAATAAAACTGACTTTGTCCTCCTTTTCCTTCTGAACCCGTCACAAAGATTCAATATAACAAGAAAAGGACAGGATAGTGAGCAAAACAAGTATGTGGTCATGTGTCAGAGGGCATTTCTGTGAAAGATTCAGGAGAGAAAGATAAAAGTATTTTGTTGCCTCTCAGACAGGGTGATTCTGTCAAGCAGACACTAATGCTGACTGTGGATCTGTGCCTGTGTCTGTATCTGTCAGCAGAGGAGTGCCGAGGAGTGACCACAGTGGACCTGATGAAAAGGGAAGGCAGCAGCCTTGGCCTCACCATCTCCGGAGGCTCAGATAAAGACGGCAAGCCCAGAGTGTCAAACCTACGGCCAGGTGGGCTAGCTGCCAGGTGAGATCACTGCTCTGAGATGAGGCTAAAACCTGGCAACCACACCAAGCTGCCCACATGTTATTCTGCTCCCACAAATATGCTAAGAAGTACCAGCTCACCTTATTGGCACAAATGTAGTTCGTTGGATCAACTTGATTCAGTCCCATTATACCTAAAAGAACCCCAAGAAACCATAAAACATTTGTCTATAACAGGGCTATTCAATAAGATTGTAATCAGGGCTAGTGGATGAAATTGATTCAAAATGAGGGCAAGGAAAAATATGGCTTGAAATATGAGTAATATATAAAAAGTGAAGTAAACAACATAGGAGTGCATATATTGTATTTAGTAAAACATCCTGCATTATATTGAAACAAGACCTAAGGCCTAAGGCTTTTCTACATTTAAATGGCATCGGTACATATAACTCATTTAAAGTAACACCTAAAGGAACCCAAGAAACCATATCACATTGACCATAAGATTACATTTAGATTTCATTTGGATGTCAGTTCACACATCATTTACTGTATGGTGTTAATTAAACAGCAGAAACATTTGGTCCGTCTGTTTTTTACAGATTGCTTGATTAAGATTAGATTCAACTCATTTTCAGAGACGTCAACGACATTAAACTCATTTCCTCAAACATCAAAGTGAAATCGGAAGACATTTCTTGGTGATTAACCAGCGTGTGTGTGAAGGGTAACACGCAGGTTTTGTAAGAGTGACACAGCCCCTCTGAAAGTGTCTTGGCCAAATATGCCATCGCCTGTCAAGTCCAAGGAGATTTAAAGACTAAGCTAATTCTTAAAGCAGCTTGTCTTCACACAGCTGTGTTCATGCTTGTGTGGAAGTGCTGGCTAATTTACTGCGTGGAGAGAGACACATGCGGGCAGACAGACAGGGAGAGTGATGAGAGCGGACCGGATGGCAGGTCGTCAGTCTGCCCTGCTGGTCGTGATGTCTCTCTTTTTGTGTCTGTGTCTCTGTCTCTTTCTCTGTCTGTCTCTCTTTCTCTCTGTCCATCTCTGTCCCTCTGTATCTCTCTCCTTCTCTCTGTCTGCTGTCACTGGTGATCCTCAGTAGCCCAAAGGTGAGAAGAGCTAGCAGGGCAGAACATGTATTTAATTAATTAGCCCTCCAATGAGCAGCGTGTTGACTCAGAATGTCATATGTGAGACGGCTTGTACAATCATCTGTGTCACTGTTTGCAGGGCCGTTTCTTCCTATAGGCAGACTATGCAAATGCATAGGGCCCCCGCGGCCACTAGGGGGCCCCCAAGCTGAAAGTATTTTTTTTTATTTTTTTTATTCATCCTAAAAATAAAAATAAATTAATTCATACACACAAAGATGAACACAATTAGTAGAAGCGGGAGGGCTGAAGCATAGCTTATGGAAAGTAGCCCTCCCGTGCATCATCCTAATACAACATCGGCATTATTGCGTCAAAAACGTATAGAAATGAAGGAGTACAAAGAAATAANAACAATAATACACTGTTTCTGAGTTATTAATTAACAGAGATCTTTCCATGAGAGCACTTTGATCAACAGACGCCTCAATAAATATGGAATATGAGCCTTCATAAGAAGGCTCATATTCCATATTTATTGAGGCGTCTGTTGATCAAAGTGCTCTCATGGAAAGATCTCTGTTAATTAATAACTCAGAAACAGTGTATTATTGTTTTGATGGAAAAACCAGTCTTTGAAGTAAGAACCAATCAATGCAGAGAGATCTGAGGACTGGTCAAGATGTCCATGGAGTATTTTCAGAGATTTAGGGACTAGTTGCAAAGACTTGTTTCCCTACCTTTTCTCCTGAACATTGACTCATAATAAACCTGTAAATCTATAAAACACATTCAGATTGAATCCTGATTCTGGACTGCAGTTTGGACTTTGATACTTCTCTTATCTTATGAAGGCTCATATTTCATATTTATTGAGGCCTCTTGGGGTCAAAGTGCTTTCATAGATAGAATGATCATGTGTACTCGGTTAATTAATAACTCAGAAATAATGTATTGATATGGTGGAATAACCAGTGTTTGAAAAGAGAACCAATGTATGCAGAGAGATCTGAGGACTAGTTATGAGGACTAGTTAAGATGTCTAAGGACCAGTTACAGCAGCGTTAAAAAGATCTTCCAACGTTTCTGTCCATTCACTTTGAATGGGGTGACGTCACTTTGCCTCACTTTTCGCCAAACTGCATTGTGGGAAGCAAAGCGGAGATTTCCAGGCATCTCAGGATTCAAAAGTTGAGCAATGTTCAACTTTTCAAGCTGAGGTGGAAGCATCAGCCAATCAAATCCCGTTTATGCAAATCTGACAGTACAAGCGCTAGCCAATGGTCAAACCGCGTGCAAGCTGGGAGAGACAGACCGCAGTTCATTTTCTATATTCCTGAAAATGGAGGAGAAATTTGTTATTGAGGTAGCAAATCACCCGGTTCTTTATGACCAGTCCCTGTTAACTCACCGGGATACAAACCGGAGGAGCCAGGCATGGAGGGAGGTGGCAGAGACAGTGGGTGAAACTGGTAGGTTTTCGCCTGTTTGGGGATTTTATATCCAGTTTACTTCGTTTCAACATTGCTATTGCTTTGTATGTCGGGGGCGGGAGATTCATGTGATTGGTTGTTGGTCGCGTTGCTCGCAAAAAATCGCCAAGCTTCAGACACGCCCAGCTTCAAGATTTTTCAAGATTTTTTTCATGCCTGTGTGTGGACGGGCCGTTACAGAGGAGCGATAGAAAGCATTCTGACTGGAAAACGTACAGACTGGAATGACCAGTAGTAACCCATTTATTGAGCATCAGTAATATCGGTGAGAAGTGCCTGCAAAGAGCTCAAAGGATATTACAGAGAAACAGAAGTATCTGCTGCCAGACTACAGAGCAGCTTCTCTCCTCCTCAGGCTGTGAGAGTCCTGAAGCCATTCTCCAGGACTCTCTTTTTTGCATTCTTTTGGACCATAGCTGCATTTTGTGTTTCACAATGGCAATACATGATCCTTGTATTATAAGCACTGAGCCAACTATATTGAAGCTGATCCTTGTTTTAAGTCTACTCATGTGCCTTTTAAAATAAAAGTGAACTATTTGATAGGATTAACAAAGAAACCCTCTATCTGTGTTTTTAAAGTACCCACTCAGCTGCAGGAGAATTACCAGGATCCCTTAGCCTGATAACAGCATGTTAAACCAGGATAAGTTAAGCTACATCAGAAGAATGGTGTCCTAATCTGTAGTGTCAGCTAAAGGAGTGATCAAAGCTGCTGTTTGGTCCACTTTCTGTGTTTTCTTGCTTGTCTGGCCACTCTGAGGAAATGTTGTCTTTCCCAGTGGAATTTAAAAACTGCTGTCTTGGTTTATTCAAAAGACTGACAGAGAATGCGTGCATTTTTACAGTCTATGTACTCCCACATTTCTAAATCTGCTTTTTTTTTTCCCCTGTCCCACAAACAGACAGCTCCGACAACTCTGACCTTGAGGACGACATCATCTTATCCCTGAATGAGTGAGGAGCCGCTGGCGCCTGGGACCAAGCAACCGGGCATCATGTCAAGACTTCTGCCTCATAGACAAGTGCGCTGCAGAGCAGGAGGCAAGAAAAGAGGATAATATCAGCAGATAAGGTGGGAGATAGCCTGGAGCACTGCCAGTTTGAAACAGTAGGTGTCTGCAATCTGAGTGACAAGACAAAGGAAGAACAATCTCATAGAGATAGAGGCCTGAAAAACCAATGCACACTCAAATTGACTTACTAGTGGGCAAAAATGATTGTATACGATATAGTTTTATAAAAAGAAGAGAAGAAGAGGGCTTGATGGTGAAATAAATTGCCAGTGCTTGGATGCAGTGAAGAAAAGTTTTATATTTGATCTCATTTGCAACTTTTTTAAGTGAGCCCCTTCATTTGAAATTGATTCCCTCACTGTTTGGTCACAGATTAGTGTTCGTAGGGGAGAAGGCTTGCATTGCACCACTGAGGGTCTGCATTTGTGTGGCAAAGGATATAAAGCTCTCTCCAATGTGTATTTTGCCAGACTTCCAGGATTCAGCACCAAAAAGTAATGAGGCATCGAGTTAGGCAGCTAATGCAATTCACAAACATGTTGCTGAAGGTTCATGAAGCGTCAAACTCGCCTCCAGGTTTTTATTTTTCACCTTAAACCAACGACCAAAACGCCACCCACAGCAGTGCCATTCGTGACCGTCTCCTTCTCATTTCAGTATGTAGAGAAATCATCTTGGTGCTCTTGCTTTGCTGAGGAAACTGTAACTAGCGTGCACACTGTAACAAAATGTTGACACACTTTCAGAACATGATGGACATAAAGAGGCCTTTTTCGGCTCTCCACCATTGTTTTATTTTACAAGGCTTTATTAGTTTGGCTTTAGTGGATGTTTCTTAAAAAGATTTACAGGGCATGGTGCTGGTGATAATGCCACAAGTCTAATCACACAGCAAAAGTGTTACTTAATCTTATCTTACGGGATAAAATCGACTTTGCTAAATCTTGAGAAAAAGAAATACTTGGGAAATAACAGATGGTGGTAGAATTCAGCTAAATATTTTCCTTTCAAATGTTATTTTTTTCTGGATGGAGTGACAGGAAGCTTCAAACTTAACATTGTGGAAACAAATGCCTTTCACTTGCACACTTTTTTGAAAGCACTGCAAACATTGATTCTCATATTCTTTGCCTTGTATCAGTGCATTTGACCTGTTTTCCTTTCCATAAGAAGACTGTGATGTTTTCCTCAAACAGTTTATGTACAGCTTGTATGTATCTAAAGTATTTTTACTATAAATAAAGCCGCAAAATTATCTTTTGTGTGCTTCTTTTAATGACATGTGCATGATGCTCGCAGGCAGTAGACAATCATAAGCTGTTATACCGGAGGTGGGTAAAACATTTGTGAAAAAGGAAGAAGTGAATGCTGAAACTGGCGCCAATATCAGGGTCTAAATAACACACAAACTTCATCAGTAAACCAGGTCCCTTCAAGCATGGGCAGCGGTGAGGTCGATCTTTTAAACTTGAAGGAACTTTGAACTGATAGAAAAATCAATCTGTACTAAGTCTCACATCAAACCCCCCTCTAAATGACCAAATACAGTGGGGAAAAAAAGTATTTAGTCAGCCACCAATTGTGCAAGTTCTCCCACTTAAAAAATTGAGAGGCCTGTAATTTTCATCCTAGGTATACCTCAACTATGAGAGACAGAATGAGAAGAAAAAATCCAGAAAATCACATTGTCTGATTTTTAAAGAATTTATTTGCAAATTATGGTGGAAAATAAGTATTTGGCCACCAACAAACAAACAACATTTCTGGCTCTCACAGACCTGTAACTTCTTCTTTAAGAGCCTCCTCTGTCCTCCACTTGTTAACTGTATTAATGGCACCTGTTTGAACTCGTTATCAGTATAAAAGAGACCTGTCCACAACCTCAAACAGTCACACTCCAAACTCCACTATGGCCAAGAACAAAGAGCTGTCAAAGGACACCAGAAATAAAATTGTAGACCTGCACCAGGCTGGGAAGACTGAATCTGCAATAGGTAAGCAGCTTGGTGTGAAGAAATCAACTGTGGGAGCAATTATTAGAAAATGGAAGACATACAAGACCACTGATAATCTCCCTCGATCTGGGGCTCCACGCAAGATCTCACCCAGTGGGGTCTGCCAAGGCACAC